GAACAAACATGTCCGTCTCAGTACGGAACAGTTGGCAGGTTCATCTGACCTACTTGGCTACTATGAGCAGAAAAAACAGCTTTTGACTTATTTGGCCCAAACGCTTTTGCTTTAATAAAATTCAGCATACTTGGTCCTTTCAGTAAAATAAAAATGTAGCAAGTGTGCTGAATCAGAAAAACTGTGTGTAATTTGAATTTTCTATGAACTTCATCCCCTAAGCATCTTGACAGAAAAACACAGAAAAATTGTGATGTTTTGGGTGTTGATGCTTCTTCCCCTAAGCCCCCAATGAGTTAGAAACAGAACATAATTAGCTATTATTTTTTACCAATTTGGAATTGAGTGCTAACAACGTGTCTGAAAAAAATGAAGGAATTCAGTAGCTCTTTGTAAACTCTATGTATATATCTAAGGAACAAAGAAGCAACCTAAATGAAAAGAATCGGGTTAAAACCAAGGCTCACAACTGCTAATGCATAGACCTAAACTCAAATTCGTTACAGACCAATGAAACATTATCCATGTTCAGACACAAATAAAAAAATTAACATATGCAGCAATGATGTGGAAGGAATAAATATGACGATAAAATAAAAGCATACATTCTTTTTTTCATGTAACCTTAGTGGTCTAACCTGGAATGATCCTTTGAACATCATAAAGAAATTGATACACACAGTCAGAAAAAAGATACGCAGCATACAACTATATATAATTATAAGTCTTAATATTAAGACATTTCTATACGTATGCAGCAATAATAAATTTTAGGGAACTTTTACAATTTTAAAATATAAAGATCATTATATAATTTACCGGCCTGGTAACAAAAGGGCACGTTCTTGTTACCGTCATTATATTATAATAACAAAATAAGGAAGGTTTATGGATGAGTTACCTAACATGCTACAAAACTTACAAGAGAACATTACAGATGCATCTCAACTCTCAAGTGCAAAAGGGAACCATATTGAACGTACACTTTGTCGCGGTGTGCACTCAAAATAAATATTCAATACAACAATAATAAGTGGTATAATAAAGTAAGGTTCGTATCCACAGGGAAAGGAATACTTCTCTTTTTATAAAACTAGAAATGAGTAACAAGTTTTTTTTTAAGATTGTTTGGTGAACTTTAATTATATTTAAACACAAAGATGAACGACTTATGTGGTTTAATTAATGAGAAGAAGACTTGGCTTTGCTTTTATCCACTTAATGAAATGTTCGTCGATCCCGGTTATATCTTTAACTATCTTCCTCTCGAATACTCAATCGAGGAATATATCCAGTTCATCGAGGGTAGTTATTAATAACGAGACGTGTTCATAAAACTTACTACCGAGTTAATATAGAACACGTGCCGTATATTAACCCGATAGTAGCAATAAAATCAAAGTGAAAACGATTGAGATTGATAACCTCAACACAAGCGGTTTATCGGTTTAACCAATATAATTAATTCCCCTTCGGTTATGAACCATGAAACACATGCATTAACTGTTGGAAATTTTGGGGTATTTCAAATGAATAAGTTTTATTTTATTTTCTCAGAAATTTTATCATGACCTTAAAGACCATTTTACCCTATTATCTGTGAAGCTATTATTAAACGTTAAACAATTACCATAATATATGGACTTGGTCACTTGGCTAAACGTTTTCTTGATGTTGGGCATTGTTTCAAGTTAATGAAAAAACGTTTTGTGTTAAATGCCTTTAATACTACATAATTCATACTTTAATTTCATTAATTAAAGTTTATATTTTGGCTCTTGACTCCCTTGAGTAACGTTCGTTCGTTTTCATTGTGTATTTGGATACATCATATATTATATATATATAGATAAGCTTCTTGCAGCAAAAGAACAAATAGGATACTTGGGATATTAGAAATACTTCGTATATACTTGCTAGAGTGTCTGCACTCATTCTGATCTTTAAAAAGAGAAAATGGCCTATGGGTGCCGTGGGATTACAAAGAGAGGGCTACATACCACTTTTCATATTAAGAAGTAAACATATATATTACTCTTCATAGATTAATACGTGTGCTTATGCTTTACTTCTTCTATAGATGAAAAAGTATATATGGTGAAGTGTGTATATACAAGTATACTACAAATTAACAATACATTTTATTACTGGGTTCATATACTGTTCTCTTCTCGTTAGTTCTGGTACCGGTTTTATAACCGAAGGGCTCGTTATATCTTGGGGGAAATTTTCGTACGCCGGAAATAATTCCTTAGGACAGCGTCTGACGCGTCTCGAGCCACTGATATACTTTTAGTTCTTTGTAGTGATTATCTTGCAGGTCAATTCTCGGAGCTAGATAGTCAACGAGGCCAATTTAGGAGCAACACGGTCAACACGTTGATTTTGGAAGGATAGAGCCAACAATCTAAGGAATTAATGCGAATAAAGATTACACCTATGGAATTGTCAACGTGTCCGAAATTCTCTTTGAGACAAGCGGTGAAAATTCTAGCTCCCGCTAAATGATCAAGTTTGTGGTATGTGTTTATAACTATTCTCGTTACAAACAACCTTTAGTATAAACATAATTTTTTTTTAATGAAAATTATAGGGAAAAGATATCCATCAAAATAAAAATAAATTTTGTTGCGGGTGATTATGTGATTATTGCGGTTAATTTTTTAATTTGGATAGAGATGGGTGTGAATGAATAATTGGTAGATTTTGAGGCTACAAAATTCATTTGTGAATGCAAAACTATTATCTTTAAATAACGTATTCCAAGTGTCTGAGTTTTGATTTATTTCAGTTTATGTTTCCCTTTTGAAAAAAAATGTGGTTTTGACTAATAGAAAATTATGAGTAAATTTTGAGACAAAGCTATTGTAATCATGAATTTTGTGTGCCAAATATTTTAAAATTACTGAGTGAATCTATACTCTTTTCAATTTGCTTGATACTTTTAATATGTGGCATATTACTTCTTACGCAGTGTTATGTAATGTTAATTTGAATAGCTAAATGACCAAAGTTTAAAGCTATTCATATGAAAAGCTTGCCCGGTGCTTAAAAGTTAGAATTGAACTTCATGTATTCCCAACATTATAAATTTATTATAATTACTGCGTATTAATTTTTTCTCAATAAAAAAAAAATTAAATGTTATTGACCTTTAGAAACTATTTTGAATGTGGTGTTAGACTAGAGCTTTATAACGGTGATAATTGTTACTGCTATCAAATGAGTTGTCATTTTAATCGTTCTTATACATTCACTGGTGTGTTACAAAATATATTTATACGTAATTGTGAATATATATTGAGAATCAAACTGAGCTGAATAGGCCGTGATTGTAAAGGCCGGTTTTCTCCCCATAATAACCTCCTGTTAAAAGTTTACGAGTGCAGTGGATAGTGTGGTCTTACTATCATTATTATCTGACTTTTATTTGCGTGATGTACTAATTCTTTTTGCATACACGTCTGTGACGTAGTTTTGGATGACTACATTTTTGGACCATTTCTTTTATATGAGAATTATCTATGAGCCTAGTTTTGTTTTTTCAAATATTCAAAATGTGGGGGTATATTTGAGATACAATAATTGTTGTGCATGTGTGCGGTGTGCTTTTAGATGCATAGTATATTATACTGGGTATTAATTGATTTGTGGTGAAATTCAAAATTGTGGATGCAAATAATATGTGTCACTTTTTATTATAAATTGTGTGTGGAGATATTTTGAGTTGGATTTAGGAATAATTTTGTAGTATGGTGTTGTTCATTTTATAGAAATTTATCTTGATGCTCAAAGTGTGAATTTATTAAACTTAACACACTATGTGAGATCCGGCAAAATTGTCGGAAGATTGAGATGAAATCGAAAACACAAAAATGTATTTGGTGAGCTAAACCATTGTATTAAAGAAATACAATGATGGAATAATTTATTGAGAATTATCCACTGTATTATTACGATACAATGATGTCATATATATTCTATCAAGTTTTCCGTTGTACTAAATGAGTATAACGATGACACATTTTATCGAGAATTATCTGTTGTACTAGAGTGATACGACGATGTTATATTTGAGTGTTATCATTCGTACTATATGTAATGGTATGATGATGTTATATACATTATAATGATGATTTTTATATACATTAAATGTTAATATGTTCTTTAAATTTAAAGGTGACTTATGGTAAAATCTTGGTGTGCAAATAAAAGTTGAGCTAGAAATTATCTTCATAAAATAGATATTATTGAATAAAATTGGGTTTTGTAACTTTTGGATGCTTTTACATAAGATGAAATAGAGGAGCATATATACGATTTTCTTAAATTGTAGAATTAATCTGCTATTATGCAATACTTTAAACTATAATATCTTTGAGATTAATGTGATAATTTTTTTTATTTTTTGAAAATGTGTATACATTAAGTGGTGCAAATGATCCAAATGGATATTTAAGATACTTTAAAAAGATATTGAGATACTTGAGAGGTACCATTAGTTATGGTATATTTGATTGAGATTATTCGTTGAAATATGTTGATCCAATGATGACATGTTTTATTGAGAAATATCCATTGTACTAGAGTGGTACAATGATGTTATATATGAGAAGTATCCATTGTACGATAATGATACAATGATGATATATATTTTATTGAGAATTATCCGTTAGGATATCACATATTCTTGAAATCATCCGATGTACAAAAGTGTCACATCGATGTTATATTTTGTTGAGAGTTATCCGTTGTATTGCAGGGATACAACGACGTAATATGAGTCGACTCACGTGAGATAAAATAGTGAATATCCATTCACCTTTAAAAGTGGTGCAATGATGTTTGAGAATGGAATTATTCCATTAATTTTGTGAAGTTAAAAGGAATTAGCTACTCCTTTTGATAGAATCCCTAGGACGTTAATGATAAATTTAAACATCGAGGAAAATGGACTAATGTCACTTTGACAACAAATAGGGATGGGAACCCAACTTGTGTGATTGGAGATCCCATGAAGCAAGTTCAAATGGGTAATAACAAGTCTTCTATTTGTTCTGCTAGCCTTGTAAAATGTCCATTTCTATGGTGTGGAAGGCTAGACTGCAATTCTTTGTGAGGCTGAGCTAAAACTCTTAATGATTGTCATAGCCCTTACGGGTGGTGTGTTAAGTGCGGGACACACTCGATGAGGTCACCTATATGAGTGAGAGGTGGGGCCGCCTCTATGAAGCATTGACAACGCTTCTAGAGCACTCAAGAAAACCAAGCACGCGCACGGCCTAGAGGCACACAACGGCGTTAACGACGAGAAAGGTGGGGGTGAAAAATGATCCCCTAAGACACTAACTTACCAAAGTAGATTATTGGTTCATAGAAACTATACGTTTCACCAATAAACTCGGTATTTAAAGACTTAGGCGTCTAGGTCTGGTTCAAGTCTACGGACACCAGATTGAAAAACCTCACCCCATATATGAACCCACTAAGGAATTGCTATCTTTAAATATATAATATTATTCATTTGAAATAGTGGGGGATTGTTGGAAATTTTGGGGTATTTCAAATGAATAAGTTTTATTTTATTTTCTCAGAAATTTTATCATGACCTTAAAGACCATTTTACCCTATTATCTGTGAAGCTATTATTAAACGTTAAACAATTACCATAATATATGGACTTGGTCACTTGGCTAAACGTTTTCTTGATGTTGGGCATTGTTTCAAGTTAATGAAAAAACGTTTTGTGTTAAATGCCTTTAATACTACATAATTCATACTTTAATTTCATTAATTAAAGTTTATATTTTGGCTCTTGACTCCCTTGAGTAACGTTCGTTCGTTTTCATTGTGTATTTGGATACATCATATATTATATATATATAGATAAGCTTCTTGCAGCAAAAGAACAAATAGGATACTTGGGATATTAGAAATACTTCGTATATACTTGCTAGAGTGTCTGCACTCATTCTGATCTTTAAAAAGAGAAAATGGCCTATGGGTGCCGTGGGATTACAAAGAGAGGGCTACATACCACTTTTCATATTAAGAAGTAAACATATATATTACTCTTCATAGATTAATACGTGTGCTTATGCTTTACTTCTTCTATAGATGAAAAAGTATATATGGTGAAGTGTGTATATACAAGTATACTACAAATTAACAATACATTTTATTACTGGGTTCATATACTGTTCTCTTCTCGTTAGTTCTGGTACCGGTTTTATAACCGAAGGGCTCGTTATATCTTGGGGGAAATTTTCGTACGCCGGAAATAATTCCTTAGGACAGCGTCTGACGCGTCTCGAGCCACTGATATACTTTTAGTTCTTTGTAGTGATTATCTTGCAGGTCAATTCTCGGAGCTAGATAGTCAACGAGGCCAATTTAGGAGCAACACGGTCAACACGTTGATTTTGGAAGGATAGAGCCAACATTAACAACCCAAGTTTACTACCACGAAAGGACCGAATTAATAACAAGCGTATTAATCGATCGGTTCTAGTAATAATTGATATATGAAACAAAACTAGTTGATCCTTTAAGTAATGCTCAAAATATTAATATGAAATAGGAATATGAATTAATTAATATTCAAGGAAGATTATTAAAGAAAATAACTCACAACTTACAATTCATTAAGCTTCAAAGTAGCAAAACCAAGATGGAAAAATTTAGGGCCTGTTTACTAACAGAAATATTTTCTGTTTTTTCAAAAAATTGGAAAACTGGAGATAGAAAAGTCAGAAAACACGTTTACCAAACTATTTTCCAAAATGAAAAAATCGAAACACGTCTCACTTTTCCGGTGTGAAATGGAAAACACGTTTTATGCGTTTTCTAGTTTTAGAAAACTCGGTGCTACAGTATTCATTTACTTCGTTCGCCTTCCTCCTCCTACCACGCTTTCATTTTGCCTTACCTTCCTCCGCCTAACTTCATTACTCGGTGTTAAAGTCTCACCTTCCTCCTCCCTTCCAGCTTTAAATTCCGACTTGAGCATCGCCAAACACTGCACCTCATTGCCACAGCTTCAGATTTGTCCGAGCAAAGCATCCCTTCCCCCTCCTTCATGGCTACCACGCTCCAGGTTCACAAATCAGGCCATCGCTGCTAGGAGCTGAGCCTCGACATCACGACATCTCCCAGTTCTTCCGTCGACTCCTGTTCTGCCAACGATTTGAAGGTAAGCTCTGAAACTCAATAAATTTAAAACCAATTCAGCTTCCTTCGGCTCCTGTTCTCCCAGTTCTTCCGTCGGCTCCTAGTTATTCCGTCAACTCAATATTTTTTTTTTCAAAATTTAAATCCGATTGGAATCTGAAAACCAATTCAGCTTCTTATGCATGAAACCATGGTTAGGGCTTGTTTTTCTTAATTTTACTTTCACAATTAGCTTTAGTTTTAGTTTTGAATTAGCTATGGTTAGGAGTTTTTTCACAGTTTTACTTTCACAATTTTTTTTTCAAAATTTAAATCCGATTGGAATCTGAAAACCAAATGAGATTCTTAAGCCTGAAACCATGGTTAGGGCTTGTTTTTCTTAATTTTACTTTCACAATTAACTTTAGTTTTAGTTTTGAATTAGCTATAGTTTTGAAACCATTGAAATCAGCTTCTTAAGCCTGAAACCATGGTTAGGTTTGCTTCGTTCCGAATCCTTAAACCCAATTCACAATTAGCTTTAGTATTTTTAATTTCTGGCAAATGTTGATGTACTAGTCTATGAATAAGGCGTATTTGATACTTTGGGTTGCAATCATTCAAAACAGAAATGAACTACGAGCAGACAATATATATGATTCATGGGTGCAGGGCTGCAATGTATGGAAAATCTTTACAAGGCAGATTCTTTATTTTTGGACATTGTTTTTGTTTTGAACTCTATAAAGGAGTAAAGGACATTATTTTTTACCTCATGAGTTGTTGATTCCATGAACATATTACTACATTTTTTTAACATCAAGAGTTTATTTTACTTCATATATGTTTCAGTCCCTTTACATTCAGTTTATAGCATAGTATTTAGTACTTTTTGTAAAGGCAATTGTAGATAGTTGTAATAAGTAGTTTTTAGATAGGTTTTTTATTTTTTTCATCAAATGGAGCTCATATATGAATGACCACAGACTCCAAAATGAACATCCATTACCAAGTTAGAGCCTATGATATACATATCATGCAGTGATGGACATGGTTGATTGTACATATAGCTGCAAGAAAATACTCAAGCTTCCAAACATAAGTCCAATGACTCACTTTATATGCACCAACTTTGGTTCCATTAGTTGCCAAATTGTTTTCGTTTATCTATTTATTTTCCTACTTTTTCTGAAAGTTTAGTAAATTCAACACTCATCAGACCTTGTTTTTATCTATTTATTGACTCACGACCTTGTCCAGTGATCATGGCCAAAGTTCCAGACCGTCCGCAGAACTTGCACTTCTGAAAAACATTGTAGTTTTTAGATAGTTTTTACACAAAAATGTCATGCAACTTTTGCGGAGCTGAAAAACATTCCTTTTGATACTGTTAGCAGGATTTGAAGGGAGGTGCTGTTTTTCTTAGACTGTTTTAAGTTACTCCATTTTGATACTGTTAGCAGGATTCCGGGTTTTCTAGCCCCATACCGTGGAGAGAGTTATCACTTAAAAGATTTTCGAGACCGAGGACGAATACGCAATAAGCAAGCTTTATTTAACTACCGACACTCATCCGTGCGCAATGTGATCGAGAGGTGTTTCGGAGTACTAAAGGAAAGATTTCCCATTCTAGACATATCACGTGGTTACCCATTGAGAAGACAAGTTCAAATTCCCATAGCTTGTTGCGCATTGCATAACTTCATTCGCATGCAAGATAGGAACGATGATGTGTTCTTGGAGTACGAGGAAGATGATATGATAGTTAACACGGAGGCAAGTACAAGTGAAAATGGATCACTCGAATTTGATATGTCTCAACAACAACAAATGCATGAAATTCGAGAAAGTATTGCAAATGCAATATGGGATGATTATAATGTTTGAGATGTTGAAGTACAACTGTTGTTCTGATTAACATGTCACTTGTTGAATTTTCAGTGTTGGGGAACATTTATGTTATTTTTTTTTGTTATTTCAAATGTCCCTTTAAATGTGCATTTCTTTTTCGGAATATTAAGTCAACGTTGTATGGTAAAAATGAAATGAAAAATTGAAAAACTCTAGTAAACATGTTTTCTGATTTGGAAAACAAAAAACTGGAAAATGAAAACAGAAAACTGCAGGCTTGAAAACAGAAAATGAAAACAGAAAAATATTCTTGTTAGTAAACGGGCCCTTAGCTTCTCATTTGGAGACTAAACATAATGAAAATATAAAGAAAGAAGAGATATTACCCGAAATAGGACTAAAAAGGTTTGAAAATTCCAAAATAGAACTGTCATGTTTTTATTCCCAAAATAGGACTAATTACTGTCATGTTTTGGCAGTACCAGACTTCAAACATGGCAGTATTTTCCAAACTTGACAGTAATTACTCTTATTTTGGGAATAAAAAACATGACAATCCTATTTTGGAATTTTCAAACTGTTTTAGTCCTATTTCGGGAACTTTCCCAAGAAATAACTTATCTAGACTGAGCTTATAAGTGTATAGGAATTGGTGATCTTTTGTGAAGGAAAGGAGATGTATTTATAGGCTTTTTGGATTATTAGCTCGTGTACCCGATCGAGTACACATAGGGTACCCGACCAGGTATTCCCATAATGTTGAATTTGAGCTATACTCGACCGATTTCAGTGTTAAACTTATCTGCATACCCGATCGGGTGTGTCGGTGTACCCGATCGGGTATAACAACTGATCATGACCAAATCTTCCCCTGCACGTCTCTTTGTTTCCCGAATTGATCTGATTGAAAGTCAAGTGGGTACCCGATCGGTTGTAGGGTATACCCGACCGGGTACAGGTCAAAATCAGGAACTTTCCTTTTTTGTCTTGTATTCTTGCACCTTCCTTCCTCTTTTGGTCTCACCAATGATCATTTCATTGATCCTGGACCTGTTTTAGCTCAGAATAGACCTAATGTAAACATATTACAACTATTTTACAAACATAACTATTACACCAAAAATGTGTAATTTCCAAAGTATCAAACAACAAAAGCTTTGGAGTATGAGCATATCTAAAAATAAGAGTATGAGCATGTTTGGGTTTATACACACTGAAGAGCTCTCTGTGTCGGACTCTCTGATTTGTATTGATATTTCACTCAGACAGGACTGTTTCTCCTCCGAAAATAGGGATATATCCATCTCCTCTCTTATTCTCATGGCACAATTTTAAGATGGGTCTCAACCTAGCAGCTCACTGCACAAGGATCAACATTTTTCCCTTCACCTTCTAATCCTCCTACCACGCTTCAAATCAGCAGCTCAATGCTTCCTCCTCTGCACTAACAGTTGCTGAGGACTCCAAAAATGCCCCCTTAACATACAAAGACGCTTGCTTATCACATACTGCACCTAGGCTCTCGGCAACTTTGTCACCTTTTTACCCGACTCCTTCACATCGTATTTCAGGTTGTTGGCAAATCTCATATGATAATGTGGAGGAGTCAGAAGCTGAATGGGAAGCTGAAAATGGTGACCCCCCTTTTGGATGATGGAGAGCTCGAATATCATGAAGGGATGGATGATTTGGATCACCACTCAGACAGTGAAGTTTATTGTTCTAAAGATAAATCCCGTCATGTTTATCAACCACGAAGGAGTGCCAGGCTTGCTGCTCACTTCTCAAACCATGACACTGGTTTTCTTTAAATTTGGTATTTTCCGGACAGGTTGTTTCTCGGGCATTTTTTTACACTCCTTGAGGTTGGTTTTTGAAGGTTAACTGGATTGATCCTTTGAAGCTTACTACTCCAATGAGGATACTCTTTCTTTGGTCAAATTGAAAGTCTCTTTGCTTGGTTTAAAGGTTCTCTTATGAATTTGTTAACATATCTAAAAATAAGAGTATGAGCATGTTTGGGTTTCAGCGTTTCAGCCAAAACGCTAAGTGCAAACAAACTAAAACCGCTGCAAATTGTAGCGCGTTAGATCAGCGTTTCTACTCAAAAGACAAAAAATAAATGAAGCCTAACTATAGCCAGTTAGCCACATTCCAGGGAGAAAAAGTAAAACGCATAATTGCAGTAGCACAAATGCTTGTTTTTTTTATTTATTTCATGTAAAAGCAAAGTTTTTTTCTTCTTTCTAGACTAATATGATTATCATTCAAAGACATAATTGCCTCCGTTTGTCTCTTTTTCTATCAATGTTCACTATCAATCACTTTGGCTGCATAACAAACTAATAAGATTATCATTTTTTTGTTACTGATTTTGTTAACTTTTTTTCACTTGAAAACAAATTCGGGGTTAGTGCTCTTTAAACTGAAAGAAGAAATAGAGGCAAGGAATCGCTTAATTCAATAATCCTCGATAGTCCAATAATGCATTGATTCCACAACTAAACTTTTTTCACCATATGTCAATAATCCTATAGCTGAATCGCTTAATTCAACGTATAAGATTCACTATTATGTCAATGCTCATAGAGGCAGGGACTTGGTGCCATTTACATGGAATCAAACATATGGAAAACAAAATCACTGTCAAACAGAATAGGCAATGAACAACAATCTATAAAGAGATGAATGATAGTGTGAGGAAGTAAAAGGAATTCAAAAGCAGCACAGAGAGGGAAAGAAATCAGGGAAAAGCGATGCTTACGGTGCAAAGGAGGTTTGGAAGCACAGAAGTTTTTCCAAGATTGTCTCTTATGGGAGGGGAGGTCTCAGGTTCGAAACTCAATGGAGTGAGTTTCAGCCTAGTTTACTTCAGGCCCCCATACCCCTAGACGCCCCCTACAGTATAAAAAAATGCTGAAGACAGGAGGTCTAGAGAAGAAAGAGCGTACATCATCTATAATTGATGCAATCAATGATAAGGAGTTCAATAACACAATAGTGTGGGTATTAACGAGGAAGGAGATGAGGATAGCTGAGCATACTTCGGAGAAACGACATGAAAAGAAACCTGGACAGTTGGCGCAAGAAGGGGGAAACGACGGGAGCCAACGTGGTTTGGTTAGGGGGGCGTTGATGCAGACCTGGTGTGCACGAATCCAAGGTTAGGGGCGCTCGAGATTGAAACGAGGGGGGGTCCAGGTGTGCGAAATCGAGGTTCATCAGTTGCAATAGATGGGAGCTAAATGGAAATTATAACAGAAAATTTTAAACTTTTAAAAAGTACACAGAGTAAAAGACAAAGTACCATCAAACAAAGCAAATGATTACACCAACACAATTTTCAGCTCTAAAACGCCCTAACTCTCCTCGAGGATTATAAGCTTTTAAGATATAATTATACAAGTATATAATAGTTATGGGGAGATAATGAGATTGGTCAATTATCTCAACCATTTTCAACTGCTTCTGACTCCTGATTCAATTGAAAATAAAAGTTAACAATTTGAAGATGGAGTAATAGTGAATAACTCAGGACGAAGAACAACCAAGCAAAAAAATAAAATCTAAGCAATGCACAATAAATCACGGACAAGACAAAAAAGGAAATACCTGTAGATAAGCCAAGAGGTCACCCCAGGCGCGTACGACCAAGAACGATCCTCCACTGCCTAACCCATATCTGGGCCAGCCCATTAACCACGCTCTAACCTCTTGGCCTGCTAAAGAGGCATGGTTGATGAAGGATTCAGAGGTACAATTCTAATATCCTATAGAACAGATCCTGTTCAAGTAAGGTCGTGGCCATTCTTGCCATCTTCATAAATTTATTGGTCACAACTCCGGTACCTTTCTAAAATATGGGGTACCGTACCTATCATTCATTTGATTGGACCACATCACTTAATCATTTTTAATTTAGATTTAAATAATTCAACTGTTACATTCCCATTGGTCCATGTGGACAAAGGTATGATACCTTATGGGTACCATAGAATCTACCAAATTTATTCCGTGAGTCTTTTTAATAATCCGCCGGTGTGGGAACGTTTGCAAGTATATGTCGCTACAGCTTATAGGCCTTGGTAGTTAGTACTCCCTCCATCCCCTTTTAAATGTCCCATTTTATCATATTGGGATGTCCCTATTTAATTGTCCCATATCTTATTTGGTAAAGTTTGTGTGGCTCAAAATCATTCTTACTTTATTCTTAATTTATTCTTACTTTATCAATGGGATAAGGGTTCGTTTGGTCCTCGAAGTTGCAAAAAAGGTGTCAAATAAGTCCTTATATAGAAGATTATGTCCGGATGTGCCATTTGTGGTGGCTCCCGGTGGAATTTTTTGATGAAATTTTTTGAGCATCTTATTCATTAAGTCTAGTTTACTCATATCAAATTTCAGATAAAAATTCAATCGGGAAGACATTCAAATGAATTCTTGAAGATAATTGTGCCGTTAAAAGCGCAGTTATCTTCAAGAATTCATTTGAATGTCTTCCCGATTGAATGTTTAGCTGAAATTTGGTATGAGTAAACTAGACTTAATGAATAGGATGCTCAAAAAGTTTTATCAAAAAATTCCACCGGGAGCCACCTCAAATGGCACGTCCGGACATAATCTTCTATATAAGGACTTATTTGACACCTTTTTTTGCAAGTTCGAGGACCAAACTGACCCTTTACTCCCTTTATCAATTAATATCAACCACACAAACCCACTTTTCTTAAAACTTGTGTCACCCTCCTCCGGGACTTTTAAAAGGGAACGGAGGGAGTACTTAGTAGTATGAATAAAGCCCATGCGCCTCTGAATATTCCTGCCGTTTGATGCTACAAATCTTCCATTAATGATGGATATATCTGAAGTGTAATGACGATATGCAAGGTCAATTTAGGTATAATGAACTGTTCAACTATGTAGTCCAATACATGGTAATCGAAGTAAATGCTTTTGATTAGTAGTCTGAATTGGTTATTAATTAACACACTATTAATTAATATTGTATTTCAACTAACATCTATATTAATAATATTTGAAGACATTTATATTAAAGAAAAGACTTAAATTCGTTAAATTAATTAAACATGGTAGAATTACTGCTTCAAAATACAAAATACAAAATTACATCTTATTAGGTTTGGGACCGGTTCGGTTTCCCGGCAAAATATATGGAACCGTTTGAAAATATGAAATCTTAAAAATGGTTCAGTTCTTATAAATTATTTTAAAGAACCGATTCGGAACCGAACAATTCTTAATGGTTCGGTTCTTGTCATTTAACGGTTTCTAGTCTTTAAAAAATTTCTTACAAATCGCGGTTAAATTTGTTCCAAAAAGACATTAAACGTTTGAAACTACAATACAAATATGTTGAACAACATTTCAAACCTCAAAAGTTGAGTTTAAAACATAAATAGATAACAATCTCGAAATTTTAGTAAATAAAACAAAATTAGATATTCACTACAATCAGCGAGGTAATTAGCCTGCAAAAGAGTTCATTCAAAAATTGGGGTTTTTGAATGAAGACACAGGAGTAAAAATTAATTAGGTTTTTTGCCTAATATATCGTGAGTGATCTTCTGACCCTCTGAAGTTTGGACCTAATAAGAGGCCTAAGAAGCCCAAGAGAACCGGTTAAAATGAATAATAATATTAAATACGGAGTACTTAAATAACTAAACTAAAATAGTGAATATAATATAAAAATAAATAAGTAAATATACATCAAAATATATATATTGATAAGAAATACTCCATATAAACTTTTAATTATTATATATAACGGTTCTCGGTTCATATTTTTTCAGGAACCGAGAACCGAACTGCTAATAAAAATAGGAACCGAACCATTCACAATAACTAATAAATGTTGGAACCGAACCGGGTCATAACTGTCGGTACGATTCGGTTCTCCGGTTCTTGGTTCCAAAGTCCTAGTCCTACATCTTATGTCCGTCGTCCATAGTCAGACTGGTTAGTGGTCGATGAGTCGCTCCTTCCTTGGTTGTTGCCTATTTGTCGATGTCACTGAAGAAATTTCCGGCCGTAAACTCTAAACTCCTGAAGCAATGAAGATATAATTTTAGCGAGTCAATTTCCCAATTTACCCAACTTTTTCGTATCTTGGGCAATTTGGCTGGCCGGTTGGTCGGGGTAAAACTATTAGTTTAGGACTTAAAAGTGAGTCTACTCACACTTATTATAAAGAAATAAACTTAGGTAGTACACTGTGAAAAAAGGAAAATTAGTCACAAGAGTTCATAAATTTGACTATAAATCAATGATAAAATTATAAAAATTGTAAGATAGTCCATTACACAAATCTCTAACTTCTTAATTAGATCCTCCTATGTAAGAAACTATATATCAATCACACGAACTTATTATAAAAATTACATATGGACACAACTTGTACACAAGTGAACTGAGTATAAAAGCCAAAAAAAATATCTTATCCTCCCCCCTCCCTTCTCTCTCCCTTCTTTCTTCCCTCTCTCACTCCTCTCTTTCCTCTTTACCAGCCCCTTCCATAATGCAAAAAAAATGAATGATCTTCTTCTTTCTTCATCCTCCTCTTCCCTTCTCCATCATCTTCTTCTCTACCTTTTTATATCAATTTTTTCCATTACTTGCACAAAATCTGCTTATTAATCTTTTTTCATCTATTTTTTTCAATCTTTTTTAAATTACATGTAAATTGATCACACATACAACAACATTTTCATTTTGGACGTATATAGACAATTCATTTTTTATTCACCCAGACAATTGAAATTGATCACATAGATAACTAAAGTAGATCACAAAGACAACTATTGTACGTATGTGAGCCGCAAAACGATTGTCCGTGTGGTAAACATTATGTGTACACAGGCAAATAATTGTCTGTGAGCCACAAAACTATTGCATGTGTGGTAAATATTGTCTGTGTACATGGAAAAATAATTGTATGTGCGCAGGCAAATAGTGTATGTGCACATAAGCATTGCACACATATAGATTGATTTGCACGCCAGTGTCAATGTCAAGCGGATGCTAGTGTACTTTTACACGAAAATTAATGTCTGTGACACAGACAACTCTTATCTACTCATAGGTAACTCCGTATCAATTATATGTGACTGACTTTTATGTACCAGTCGTCCAGTTGTGAACAGCTTGGGTAAAATTTCATTTTTGAACTTATTAAAGCCCTCAATTAGCATTTTGGACAAGTTAATAACGGTTTCCAGAATAACCTGTTCCCTCAATTCCAGTCACCTTACTATCTCATTATTATTGTCACTTACTTTCATGCATTTTTTAACTTTATAATTTATACGAAGTATATACACACCTTACCCCGATTTTGACCATCCCCTTCCACAAACCAATTTTTTCTACTACGTATTATAAATATTTTTTATCCCGATAATTATAGAATATTTTTAATTATTTCAATAGATATTTGTTAGATAAATGTTGCCACGAGTCATATTTTTTTAGAAAAGACATTGTCTATATTACTCTGTATCTTTTATATGAATTTATTTGTTCAAATGGAGAAATCAAACATTTTTTGACAATAAAAATGGTCATAGACGGCGGATGTGATCGAACGGCGATGGCAATGACAATGGTTGAAGGTCGCCAAGCGCCCAAGCATGTCGAGGCCAATGGCGATAAAGTGGATATATTAAAAACATAAAATAGGAAAATATACATACTGCCTGTTGGTGATGTGGTTTCTCGACTTATCATCTTTATCGGTCATCTTTTTCACCAAACACGTCTTTTTTTATATCATGCGCTGAATTGTGTATTAATCAAAATAAGTAAATAAAGTTGAAGTTACTTTTCTAGTTGAATTAGTTAAATTACTATAGTTAACCATTTTAACTATTTTTCATATAATTTTTCTCTATTTTATTAATAAAATATATTTTAAATAAAAAAATCATAATTCAATAAATCCAGTCAATTTAGCCAATATTTCATCAATTTCGGTATAATATACTAATTCATTCAATTTCAGTGACTTCTAATGCGATAGTGAGATAGTGATGAGGTAACAATGACGTGGCTAATTTACTTGAAATTTGATGTTAACCTATTCAAATACTAATTGAGTGTTTTTTTATCAAGCTTGTGTTTCTGATTAATGTTTCTTAATTACAAGGATAGAACTTAAGAGTTGGATATTGTAGAATAGCCTATTAATAATACTCCCCCCGTCCCGAAATATATGTTCTGCTTTCCTTTTCGGTCCGTCCCAAAATAAATGTCTCACTTTTTAAACTTCCTTATTTGGTAAACAAATATGTACCAAACAGTGTCAAACAGTGCAAAACAGTGTCACTACAGTGCCAAACAGTGTCAAACAGTGCAAAACAGTGTCGCTACAGTGCAAAACAGTGTCACTACAGTGCCAAACAGTATGCAGTCAGATTCATTTTCTTAATCTATGTGAAAGTCAAAGCGGGACGTTTATTTCGGGACGGAGGGAGTAATTTTCTATAAAACTATAATCTATATCCTCCTCTATTCATTTTCTAGAAGTTGTAACATAGAGATATAGACGAGTAGACAAGGCCATCCCAAGCTTCCCAGAAAAAGTACTCTGTTTTGCTACACAGGTGTGGAATTGGTTGTTGGACTTGTCGTCGTAGGTTGAATTGGTCAGCACCATGAGATTTCAGGAAACAAAATCTATCCTCATATATATTTCCACCACTCATTTCATTTCAGTACTTCCTTTTCCTTCCCTATTGCTCATATGACCAAAAATACTCGGTTTCTCCAGTCAAACTTCAAGCGCTCTCATTTGGACTTCTTATTTCCCTTTTTGCCCATTTCTCTTCCACATTCCTTTTCGTGGCATATCAATCATTTAGTTCTAAAAGTGCCCTCACCTCCCTCAACTGGGTATATAAAGGAACACGTCTTTAAAAGTTTTCCTCCCCATCCAACCCAAAACACAATTATCCAATCACCTCACCCAGTGACCCAAACACAAAATGGATAGTTGGGAAGACAAAAAAGCTTTGATCACTGAGCTAACACAAGGGATGGAGTGTGCCAAACAGCTTAGATCCTATTTGCACTCCCAGCCTTCTCATTCTTCTGTTTCTTCTGATACTCATCGCTTTCTCTTAGACAAGATAGAAACTTCTTTCCAGATATTACTCTGTCTTCTCCATCCACCACCTTCCACTACTGCCCCTGAGTCTTCCATCTCTGTCGAAGGAAGCTCGCCAAATGAGGGCATCCACAAGAGCATGCCCGAGTTCAGAAGTATGACGAAAAGGAGGTACCTTGCCAGAATACGATCAAGATTATTGAGATTCTTGTTCTAATAATTTCCACGTGATTTTACTTGCATAAGTGGACATTGATTAGTGTTGTTTTTCAGGAAGTTGTTGCCAACATGGACAGAACAGGTTAGAGTAGTTACTGATAATGGACTTGAAGGTCCTCCTGAAGATGGTTATAGTTGGAGAAAGTACGGCCAGAAGGACATTCTTGGAGCTAAATATCCAAGGTGAATTGATCAGTTAACATTCAAGTCTGCAAAAGAAGATTACGCATTAGTGCAGATAGAAGGGTCAAATTCTGATACAAAAATTCTTTTGGGTATAAAAAGAAAAATATGTTAAATACTCTCTTTCTCCCACTAAACTCTTCTAAATTTGGCTAACAGGTGAAATAAGAAAGTAGAAAATAACCGCAATTACTTTTAAGGAAAGTTGTCAAAGTTTAGTGGGGCGGAGGAAGTATATGACTAAAATAAAAAGTATGAACAAAGAATGACCATGGAGTCATATTCTTCCCATGAGTTCTGTTTTATTAGTATTACGAGAAAAACCATTTAAAGGATGAATCTTTTTTGCAGAAGCTATTACAGATGTACGTACCGACAAATGCACAACTGTTGGGCCATCAAACAAGTTCAAAGATCTGATGGTGATTCAAGCTTATTCGAGATCACATACAAAGGGGCACATACATGTCGGCAAGTACCACCCAAGAAAAAAGAACTAGAACAAAACTCATACCACCACAATGATAGTCTCTCGATGCAACCAACAAGTCAGATGTTAACGGAATTCAGATCAAACCTGAGGGTCGATACTAATGACTTTGAAGGGAAGGAGACACTATCTGCTTTCTCCTTCCCTCAAACATTCCCCGGTGGATTAACAGATGAAAACCAGCAACAGTTCCAGATTTCACAGTATGACTTAGGGACTTACTCGCCCTCCTTTGCTTCTCCTACCACTTCTGAGTCAAACATCTTTGGTGCAGTTCAAAATTTTCACTGCTCTGAGTCAATAATTGAGTCACCAGACCTCAATGACATATTCTCAGCCACCACATCATCCACAAACTCTCCAAATGTGGGCTTGGATTACACACTTGACCTGGAAAATTGTGACCCAAACTTCCTGTTTGATGCCTCAGAGTTTTTCCAATGACCCCAGGCCCCATCTAGCCTAGATGAGGAGAAGAAAGAAAGAAAGAAAGAAAGAAAGAAAGAAAGAAAGAAAGAAAGACAGCGGTAGGCAGGGGAGTAATCATCAAGTTTGGCACTTTTGGCATATATAGATTTTGACTACAAAAGTACTTGTAAGAAATAAACAAAATTCTTTTTAACAATTAAATTTTGTATTAGAAATCGACTGTTTCGAGGACAAAAATACTCGAAACAGTCAGTTTTTCCTTTATTGTTGCTAATTTTTTAAATGTTAAGTCATTTTACGCCAGCCGTATAAACGAGCATATATTGCATTACTCCTCCTATCATGTTGGCTTTTTATGATTGAGCCAAAGTATTAATAATAGTATCAAAACCTATTAAGGTCAAATGAGAAATTTTGATCTTGGTAAGACTCAAGTTCTAATATCGTGTGATCTTCTAATGAATAACTCCATAAGTCCATATATTCTAATGTTACTATTCACTAAACATCCACACTAAGCTACACATCTATCTAACTCATCTTCTTCATAAAGTTTTTCTTAATACTTCAGCGATTTAAACCATAGAGGAATTTTCCAGAAATAATAGGAGTAAAAACAATGTGAAATTCTAAACTAGGAGTAGTATGGTTTCCATATTTCTCTCTTTCCTATCCATTTTACCAACACGCATGACTGGGTCATGTTTGTTACATCTTATATTCAATATCTTGATCACAAGGCGTGACAACATAAGCCCACAAAGAAAGAAGATTTAGCCCAAACCATGGATCACGAAAATAAGATACCATAAGTTGTACTGAAAAATATATTTCTACTTCCATTGATATGACACCCCAGTGATAAGGGGTCCCTGCTTTTTAATCAAAGGACTGTGGACTTGTGAACATACAACATCTCAATTGCTAGAGACAATTACAGCGATTATATAGAATTATAGATAAATAATGAACCTAAACAGCTAAACTCTGTAGGAACAGGAATCCAGAACTTCACACCTAATAGGAATAGAAAACTATAATACTGCAAAAACAATGAAAACTATATCTTTCTTTTGTACCTGAGACTTTAGCATAAATATTTGAAGGGATAGATGCCATTATATTGCACTCCGTACACAATAAGATACAACACGATCAATATACATCAAGGAAACCACAGAGCGGCTTTTTTAAGGTAATGTTTTTCTACCTTGCCATGATGTATAATAGCTATCTTAGATAATTGGATTATCTTCTTCTTTTGACTTCATAAAACCACTGGATTCAATTTCTTTCACATCTCTATTCTTCCTAAGAGCATCCCTCAGACCCAACACGATAAATATGTTTGTTAGGGTAAGCAGCGACTCAGCCCCTCCGTGCAACCAGTCCACATTGGATAGTGACGTCCCATATTCCACCTTTGCTGTTTCAGTTTCATCATCCCACTCGAGTCAGAATAAATAGTAACAGAAATTGAAATTCTTTAAAATATTATAAATCCAAAAGTGGGAGGATCTTACCATAAATGCCTGCCGGAACTGTATGGTGGCAGAGTTGAAGCATTGGAAGAACCACAAAATAAACTCTGGATCAGTATTACATCCAGTATATCGCTAATAGCAGATTGGAGAACTTAATATGACAAAAACTCTTCCAAAACAAACACGGGTTAACACTTCCTAAAAGTATTAGAAATTCCTAAATGCATCCAATTGTAATCACTCAAATGACAATGGAAAGATCCCAGCTTTTCAGTTAAAGCACAAAAAAACAAGCTTGTTAAATAAGATGCAATAGAATTTCTTACAGGACAATGTTGGAAATCAAAGTGGCAGGAAAAGATGCCTAGGGATAATGGTTAGAAATGTTTGTTTCTACCTTGGAAAATCAAATTCGATTAAACTTTTAAATTTTTGACATGTGTTTGCATTATATATTCCTTGAATCTTTAATTGTGGAAATATAAAGTAATTGAATTTTAACATTTTTTGGAGTAAATTCCCCGCAGTTTTCATTCCTTCCAATTCCCATTCTATTTTCATCCCTTTTGTTTTTTACAGAAACTACCGCTATAACAAACTATTAATCCGTAAATCTTACTATCATCAAGAATTACACAGTACGTAGTATTATTTCTTAAATTTGATGCACATTAGAATAGAATTTATAAAATACAGAGTACAATATTGCACACATATGTATGGCTATAAATCTTCAATAAAGCACAGATTTGCAGTCAAAAAAAATCTTCAATGAAAAAACGGAAAGAGGAAATTACTAGTGGCGCCGACGAAAGCAAGCAAAAAGTAGAAGCCAAAGAGGGTGAGCTTGGGGGCAGTATTGGACTTGGTGATGAAATACAAAAAACCGAGGTAAGGGAAGAGGGAGACAGCGAAGAGCTGAGAAGCTATGCTCTGAGAATCAATAGTGGGCGCCCATGGATCCACCGGTAACAGGAACCCTTGACACACCACGACATTTCTCCATCCCTTCTTCCTCATTAAGCCTTCCCCATTGCAATTGAGCTTATTGGCTTCTCTGCTCTTCCAGGGACCCGTTTGGAAACGGCGGGAGAAAGCCATAGTAGTTGAGTTCTTCCAAACGGGTCCTTGCACACAGTAGTGTATCATCATTTTTCCGTTATGCCTTCTCTCCTTGGCTTTCAGCTTTTCAGCCCCATCCGGTGAAGAGGTTCGTCTGTGATTGGAATCAAATGGTGGTACGCTATGTAGCACCGATACCGGTACGCGGAAAAGCGGAAACGCGGAAACGGGTACGGGGATACGTCAAAACCAAAAAAAGTAGGATACGGATACGGGGCCATATTTATAAATATTAAAAGTTATGGGGGTGTATTTACAAATATTAAAAGTTATAGGGGTCTATTTATAAATATTAAAAATAGATTTTTTTTTGAATATATATATATATATAATATTTATAAATATTAAAAGTTATGGGGGTGTATTTACAAATATTAAAAGTTATACGGGTATATATATATACACACACACACACACACATAATATCCTATGATGTCTACCCATTCATTGCATTGAAGCATTTTCCTTTTTCAAGATACTTGGTAATAAATTCATAATATTTCTCATATACACTAGTCATCTCGAAATATAAATATAGTAAATAAGTCATTAATTTAAAATGAGAAATAAGTCAAACAACTACAATCTTGAAATTAAAAGTGCAAGTATCCAATTCGAAGTATGAGTTAATGACTTAATTCGGATATAGCCATATAGGCCCATTATTTGATTACCAAGTAAAATGTAGTTTTAGATTTTCATTTTTGTTTAGAATTCTATTAAGCAAATTTTGGGATTTTTTTTAAAAAAAAGTTGATACGGGTATCCGTCAGGATACGGGTATCGGAAACTTTCAAAAAATTACAAAAAAAAATGAAAACTTTTAAAAATTGCAGATACGGCCCGGGAACGTACGGTACGGGTATCCTAGAGTATCGGATACGGGAACGTATTGGATACGCCGATACGCTACCCTAGCGAAGTATCCGTGCTTCATAGGTGGTACGTACTAGGTAGATTTGTAATTATTTTAAAATTTTCAATACCCGTATTTTGACGGATACAGGCATCAACTTTTTTAAAAAAACACTCAAAATTTACATAATAAAATTCTCAAAAAATGAAAAACTAAAAATAAATTTTACATTATCCAAGATGCTTCGGTGCAAATTTTGTATTAGAACTTTTAGTTTTTATATTAGAATATTGTTTTCTCTCTCCTTTATCCATGAATTTTGAATACTTACACTTTTAAATCCAAAACTGTCATTGTTTGACTTGTATCTCATTTTAAATTTATGACTATTGATTATGTTTATATTTCGAGAAACACTAGTGTATATGAGATAAAATATGAATTTACTTCTAATCATTTTATAATGTGAAATGTTTGAATGCCAGGACAGCGGTCAAAGGATAATATATTAATATATTTTCAAAAAATTTGAAAATTCTTAATATTTATAAATAGACCCTCATAATTTTAATATTTATAAATACAACCTCATAATTTTTATTATTTGTAAATATACCCCTCTATCCGTATCCTACTTTTTTTTGTTTTTGTAGTATCCTCGTACCCGTTTCTGTGTTTCCGCGTTTTCGTGTACCCGTATCGGTGCTACATAGCTCCTTCCCCATAAATTATGTAAACTTTGCTATTTTCCTTTTTTATTAAAAAAATTCGGATTCTTATTAATTCACTCTCATGTGCACAATCTTAATCACAATATTTTAATTTTATTATTTTTCGTATCGATGAAACTTGATCAAGTTTTATGGAACAAAGGGAGTGAACAAAAATTCTTCTTCTACTTTTTTTTTGTACATATCATCTTGCACATGTTGTGAGCAACTCTTTTTTGCCTGTGAGTATAGTAACCCCATATCAGTGTACAACAATGAGTGATGCTTCTTTTTTCAAATATGAAAAAACTATTGTACACACTTTTTGTACATACCATCTTATACACAACTGTTAGCAGTTATTTTTTTTGTGTGTGAACAACTATTGATAGACAAAAATAGTTGCTCACAGACGTGCGTAAAATGATTTTGTACAAAAAAGTGTGTACAAATACTTTCTTTTAGAACTAAGGTGATTGAAAGTCAAATTTGTCTAGTAAAACTTGTCTTCTTTTCAAAGCTGTGAAGTGTGCGATGTGATGAATGCCGGCTATGATGAATGATGTTCATTTGTTGCGATGAATGTTGGCGATGATGCCCAAGTAAGCTTTTTCTCTTTCTTTTTCTCCCCCTTCTCAAACTCCTCTAATTTCTTCCTTCCACCCCTGATTCATTATCTTTTCGTTTAGATTTTCATTTTTATTAATCCTGATTAGTTCATTTTAAAACATTCATCATATTATTTGGGGAAAACTGTCAAATAGGTTCTTGAACTTTCATAAATAAGTCAATTAAGTCCTTCTATAGTAGACTCTGTCCGGTCATCGCGATTTGGGGCGGTTCCCGATGAAATTTTTTGATGAAATTTTTTGAGCATCTTACTCATCAAGTCTAGTTTACTCATACCAAATTTCTTCTAAAAATTTAGTCGGGAGCGTATTCAAATTAATTCGAGAACGCAAAAATGCGCAGTTATCTTCAAGCATTAATTTGAATGTGTTCCCGATTGAATTTTTAGCTGAAATTTGGTATGAGTGAACTAGACTTGGTGAATAAGATTTTCAAAAAAAATCATCAAAAAATTCCACCGGAAACTGCCCCAAATTGCGACGGCCAGACAGAATCTCTTATAGAAGGACTTAATTGACCTTTTTATGAAAGTTCGAGGACCTATTTGACAGTTTTTCCTATTATTTGTCTTTTGTCTCATCAATTGAACTTGAAAAACAGGACCTTCTAGAAAAATACAAGTATGAGAGTCATAATTGTTTTTGCACACCAGCAGGTGACAAGCTTTATGAGGTAGAATATTTTGATAGAAGCTATGTGGTCAACTTGAATGAAAGAAGTTGCACATGTAGAATGTGGGATTTAAATGGTATCCCCTGCAAACATGGAGTGTCTACTATTTATGCCAATAGAGAAAAACCTGAGGAGTATGTCAGTCCTTATTACTAAAAAGAAACCTACCTGGCTGTGTATAACCATATGATCCACCCTGTCCCTAGTAAAGAAGAGTGGGAAACCACTGACTACCTTGACATCAAGGCACCCATTCCAAGAAAGCCAGCTGGTAGACCAAAGAAAAAGAGAATTAGAGCTCCTGAAGAAACAAGGAATCCATATAAGGTTTCTAGGTCTGGGAAACAGGTTGTTTGTGGTAATTGTAAGCAGGTGGGCCATAATGTAAGAGGATGTAAGACATCCCTTACACGAGAAACCCCATGGCAGAGAAGAATGAGGCTAAGAAAACAAAAGTCTTCCACAGGAGGAGGCCAAGAACCTGATGCTCATGAAGTTGAAAATGCAGATTCTCATGTCAACACTCAGGTTGTGCGGACCACCAGTGAATCAGTCCCCATTGCTTCCACTCCAAATGCAACAAGTTCAAGAAAAAGAAGAAATACTTCTAGTTCTCAACCACAACAAACTTCATCAAGAAGAATTACCAGATCTTGCAGTTCACAACCACCACAGTCCCTGGTATGACTTAATGGTGTGACATTAATGACCGTTAAATCAGTGCTTGTATAACTATTAAAATTGTTGTTTATGTGTGCAGGACAAACATTGTTGAACATGGGGGTGCTTCAATTTGAATAGATGTCATATAATTGCTGAGAAGATGTCTGGGCTTAATGTTATTGTGATGTAATTGTAATTGTAACTGTGATGAATGTAGCAGACAATTTGTAATGTTAGTTGGATTGGTTTTTGCAGTTATTTTGCTAAAATGTAATGTGTACTATGTATTGGATGGATTTTAGCAATGAATTTATGGTCTGTGTGGGCACACATTGCTTTGGTTTATCTTAAAAGGCAGGAACTGTGTACTTGTTGTTTTGGATGGAATCAAATGAGTATGGGTCAGATTGTTATGTTTCAGTATAATATGTCAGATTGTTATGTTTCAGTATAATATGATGTTCCTATTATACTTACAATTGGATGTTCATCAGATTATTATGTTTCTTTGATTTATCTTGCAGTGGGATGTTCATCAGATTATTATGTTTCAATATGGGATTGCTAATCTGATGTGTCCTAGTAGGATGTATTAGGGAGTCAAAGATGATAATAAACATGACAATAAAGAACGACAGCTTAGGGACTCAAACACTATCATTCACATTTGATTTGCTTGTCATCTAATATGCTTCCATAATGGCTTAAACCCATTTTGCAGAAATCCCCCAGTGGGATATGTAAAACACATATGCTGCCACTGAATAAGATAATAAACAACAAAAGCTTCAAAAAGACCATAAGCTTCATAACCAAATTCATAATCTTCATTACAATAATACAACCAAATTCAACAACCAAATCAGTACCCACATACAACCACACAAGAACTAAACATCTACTAAAGAAAATGACAATTAATTGAGACTGAAGTTTGAGTGACACATTTTATCAAACACATGGCAACCTTACACACCTAATATATCCTACTTCCCAACAAGATGATAACCAACAACCCGAACCACACTACATTCCAGGAGAAAGTCTTATTGCCTTTCTTTTACATCTTAAGTTCCTCTTCCATATTTTGGAGTTTCAAAAGCCCTATCCCACGAACACAACTCTTGATTTCAGCTTGCATCTCCAATTCTTTCACTCGGAAATTGTCTTCAACACTGGTAATCTTCTGGAGCAAAGTATCTATCCGTCTCAAACAAGTAACACATTCTTCATCCTCAACCCATTCAAAAAAATTGCACTTTTGAGCACTCAAGAAACGACCGCACCCATGAAATCTTTTCCCCCTGTTTTTGTCTGTCGTAGCAGTCCACACTGGTGCTTGGAGTCCACACTCACACCTCTTAATTCGTCTTCTTCCATCCATCCACTGGGACTCAGCGCTCGAAGAACTCATTGCCGTCTTACTCGCCTTTCTTTTTTTCCTTCACCGACGTCTTAAGGACAGCCTTAAACAAGAGGCTGGAGGGTTTTAATAATTAAGCAGAAAAGATAAGCCACGTGTATATGCGTAGATGAACCATTTCAAATTTCACCGTTAAAAATTTTGCCACGTCACTTATTACTAACGTCGTAAGGCCTGGATCCCCGGGTGAGATAACGGAGTGGAATCACGCGCCCGTGGTTGTCAAGAAATGAATCTCATGTCCCGAATTGAAAACACCCCAAACCACAAATACGTTTACTGTAGTTTACCCTATATTAAATTACTCCCTTACCACAATATTGGCATTGTTATGAGTCACTTATGACTACTTGACTAGTGACTATGTCACAGCATAGCGCGCTGCTCTAAAACTCAAGTGTGAATTGGAGCATCTCTAATGCGAGCACGCTACATACTTGATATGGAAGAGATAAAAATAAAGATGGGTATATTCTAAAAAATATGAATTAATAAAATACGAGAAATTGCTAAAAACGTTTATGTATTCCAAAAGAGGAATATTATGGTTTTATTGCCTATACAAGAGTAACTACTGTCATGTTTTGGCAGTATCAGACTTTACACTTGGCAGTATTTTTCAAAGTTGACAGTAATTATGTACGGATAAATTTCATATCATATATTAGTATACTAGTTATAACATATTTTCTATTATTGATGTAAATATATATTCTTTCCTTTTTCCTAGTATAGTATTATGGCATAGAGGATTTCTAGGTAGCAGTTACCATATTTGTAATTCCTAGACTTGTATATACATGCTTTCATACGGAAATACAACGGAGTAATCTCTCCCTTTTCCAATTCTTTTGACAATACGTTTCTTGCCCTTATTAGATTACTCTTATGTAGGGAATAAAAACATGACAATTCTATTTTGGAGTTTAAACATTTTTACTCCTATTTCGAGAATTTTCTCATAAAAAATTTGTCTATGTCTTTCCTTTGTTTTCTACAATTCTAAAATATTCTTTTTGCCCACATGGTCTACATTTACCTATTACTTGTATAGTATGTAGACAAAGTTATCAAAACACAAGAGACAGTAAAAAGGGTTGAAGTATTTATCACACTATAGTATTTTTGGGATGACCATAGCACTTCAACCTTTCCTATTTGGGATGACCCAAATTTAATTTCCTGTTTTTTTTTTCTATTTATGGTAAGCTTGTGATGAGAAAGTACCCATTTGCCCTCTACATTACTATAATTTACCTCCTTCACTTTATTGGACGACTACCTCCCTTTACTTTAACAAGGGTATTTTTGAAAATTCAGATTTAAATTTTTCCTTACCTTAAAACCTTGAAGTCAAACTAGAAATATTATTGTGTAGGTTTTATTATAAATAATATATATGTAGAATTTACTAATAACTATGTTATACATTACTCCGTAATATAGCTATTATAAACCATCCCCTACGAAATTATTTATGTATGATTATATTAATATTATCTAAAGAGTAATCTTCTCATACAACCAAACTGGCCGCATACGGCTAAGCTTGTTTGAGATGCTTTCGAGTGAGTTTTTTTGATAAAATTTTGTGAACATACTCATCATGAAGTGTATTTACAAAATTTCAACTTAAAATTCAATCGAAAATTCAATTGAATAAGTTATTGAAAAAACTGTGCAAAAATATGCATAAATAAATTATTGAAAAGACAATTTAACATTAAAAAATGCACGGAGTTGTCGAAAAGCTTGTTCTAAAAAAAATATCAGAATTGTCACCAACCACACAGCCATTATGTTCTTGTTTTTGCAAAGAAATGTGAACTTTCCTTGGTTTTATTTTTTCCATTTCGACTTGACACATTTATTAAAATGGTGATATTGTATTCTTGATCTAAAAAAAATATCAGAATTATCACCAACCACATAATGCTTTCATTTAAACAAATGATACGGAGTTTGGGATATCAAAAAAAGTTAATGAAGAAAACAAAAATGATATCGAGGAAGTACTTGAAAAGTTTTTATGAAATATAGTTATCCAATTGGCATCGGTAACTTGGCTCAACTGCTCAAGTTTGCAGACGTAGCAAAGTTGTCTAATTTCAGACATTTTTATTATTAATGCAAAACAATGTACTTTTATGAAATGAAACTGATTATATTATATCAACCAAACTTCTCAAAGTATTTCCACCCATACAACGCCAAACCTGTTCATGAGGCTCCGCATAGCCCAAAACCCCTCCCACTCTCTGACTAGACATAGAATAGACCACACCGGAAGGAGTGAGACTATTCGCGAACCATGTGAGAGCTTCGAAGCTTTTAATGGCCAAACAAGCCTTATCGCTTCCACCAACAGTAACATCCCGAACCAAGCAAGAAAAGCAAAACACCAACCTACCGCTAGAGTTCAAACCAATGAGATAGCAACACGAGCAAAATAAAAGGAAAAACAGTAAAAATAAATAAAATCTTCATGGCTCTCTTCATGTAACAACAAAATCCATGCTTCAAGCATCGGCTCCCTAATCCCAGTCACGCAGTTTCTTAGTGGCGGCGGTTCAGGAGGAGGACGAAAAATCCACATACCATCTTCTGCTTCCGCCACCGGAATCTGGAGTGCTCCATACCACATCATCAATCTAGATGCCAAATTCGCCCCTTTCACCGGACCCCAAGCCGCCAGTGTTCCACCCGGATCAAATACAGTTGGTGCAGCTAGGGATGGACTCGGGCCGGGCCAACCGGCCCGCTACTGTGCGGGCCCGGCCCGGTGAATCGGTTTGTGCCCGGTTCGGGCCACCCGGCCCGGTGGTATAGCGGTCCGGGCCCGGGCCTCCAGTTTAGTGAACCGGCCCGGTTCGGGCCGGAATTTATTTTTTTATTTTTTTTTTTGAAATTTTTTTAAGTTTTGGGTTGGATTAGATATTTTGGGCCATTTGAGGTGGTTTGGGGTGGAGGGGGAGGGGTAGGGGGTTAAATAAGAGAAGAAGAAAAAAAAATAAAAAAACGGGTGGCCCGGCCCGGTCTGGCCCGGAACCGGACCCGGAACCGCCCACCACCGGTTCGGGCTCGGGCCTCATTTTTCTGAACCGAGCCCGGGCCGGGCCCAGGCCTGAACCGGGCCCGAACCGGAACCGGTCCACCACTCCACCCCTAGGTGCAGCTTCCATCTCAATCGCTAACAAAGCCAAAATAACCAAAACAAGCATTTGACAACTAGACCTTGCAATCCTAGCCGGCGCAGGTCCACGACTGCCTCCGAAATCGTTCCCAATTCCCATGACTTCTTGCAATCGACTAAATCGCATCGCTGGGATTCTCCTCACTTTGACAACCGCTTCTCCCTTATTGCCTGAAAATCTAGAATGGCCTTTGATCTCCTCTTCTCATCTGGAGCCGCTGCAGACTTTGCCTCCCCCTCCCCTACGCTCACTACTTCCTCTTCCCTTGTACTTGCCTTTCAATAATCGGAATCCAGCCACGGTGAATCCACCGCTGCCGTCCGCCAAAACAGCCCTACACACGCTAGGTTTCCACCGCTTGAGAGAGCTCTCGCCCTAAACTTGCTTCCACTTTTTGCAAAGCAATGTACTTTATGCCTCTTATAATAATAAAATTCTGTTGATTTATGTTAAATAAAGAGGATTGTTTGACGCTTTCTTGAAATCTTGCCTTCTCAAATTTTCGTCATTCAACTTTAGAAATCCAGACATTTGAATTTTGAAGCTTAGATGATATACTTTTTATACAAGCACAGGGTTCATTCTTGTTTTTTATGTAATCCAGCTTCACCGAATTTAATCTTTCCAAATGGGGGGAATAAGTGAAAGAGTTTTGCTTCATGTGCACACCGGGTTACACACTGGTTTACACACCCAGGTGTAATTGTCTGCGTACAGACAATTAGGCTTGGGTTTTAGTAAAACGCAGTAGTTGTGATTCCATAAAATGAATTATCTGTGCGACTGTGCATCGACAATTCGGGATCACAAACACTTATTAAACCCAAGCGTAATTGTCTTGCACAGACACTTACACTTGAGTGTGTAAGCCGCTGAGTAACCCGATGTGTACACGAAGCAAAACTCTAAGTCAAAATATCAGAGCCATTCACCCCGAGTCCAGACTCCAGACTAGGAAATAAAAGCCATTGTTTTTATTTTTAAAGCTCTAAGCCTCTAAACTTCAAATTACCAAATCATTAACCAATATTATACCCCGGGAGTTGTTACTGTCTTCAACAAATTACTTATGTATTTATTACATGCTTTATTTTTTCAGACAGAACCCAACATCGAATTGATGTTTGATTACAAAGAATAGACTACAGTTTCCCAAGCATGGATGTGAACTTACAAGTTACAATCCTCAGACAAGCTCGGTAGCTCTCTTCAATAATCACTACTAACCTTTAAAGTTATAATCCGTTCACAGTAATACTAAAAACAAAAAATAACTAGAAGCAAATTGCTGCATTCATTGCTCGAGTGTTTAGTAACCCCACATATGTTAATTCATCGAAGTATGTCACAATTCACAAATGAAATCTCCCTCTTGGCTACATATGTTGACATGCCTTCAGCTAGCAGGCCTTTGACTAATCAAAATAAATAATAAATAATAATACAAAATAGCCCAAAGACCCACAGCAACAAAATTTTCTGCAGAGAACGAAGTCTGCTGTGGAGCTAATCAAATAGATACAGAGAACTAAAGCAATGAGGGCCAGATTTTTTCAAGGTTAGTGACTTACGACTCTATCAGAATCACATCTGGTGATAAGATGAAGCGGACTAAGTAGTAGTGGGATCAAATATTGCCTTTTCACGCCAAATGCCATCTATGTTGGACTGCCACAAGCGGACCTGGCCATCACTCCCAGTAGTAGCAAGTGTCATTCCACTCATGTCCCAATCCATCTCCCAAACCTATAAAGAGAGGGCACATGATGGAGACAGATGGGTAACAATATCCCCTTCAGGAATCAATGAGAGTGGACCTCTAACAAAGCAGAGTCAAAATGTAGACCTACCTCATTATCACAGGAAGACGAAAGCAATGCAACCTTCTCAGTCGCAAGCCTCCCATTGGGGTCAGGTTCTGATCCAACATGCCATATTGCAATCCCTTTGTAAGTAGAGACAGCTATTACTTCATATGGCCTACAACATGATATCAGTTAGCTAAGTTTGCGTTTGGCGAACCTAAAAGTATCATTATTGGGGTCATAACACCCATCAGATCCTAAAGGAGTTTTTTGGGGTCCACTGGAGTCAGTGCTACCTTCCGATGTTTGGGGCCCATGCGATTGCTAAAACCTGGTCACCCTTGTCTGATGGCAAGGCTAATTCTGCAACTGGAAGCCATCTCTGATGAGGCTCATCAAATTCCCAAACCTGCAAAAGAGTGTAAAGAGACAACCTTGTTACACTTTGCTACTAATAAATGTCCAGTAAATTGCAGCTCTCCTTTGTGTCTCCATCTATGCAATCATATGCTCTCTCTGTCCCTCAAAACTTAGACATCCCAGACTTTTTTGGTCAATGGTGTCAAATTTTGACCAATGGCATAGATTATAATATGAATATGATATGACAATGTTCTTTATTGAAACTACTCTCCTATATGTATAAAACTTATACAACAACATCCAAGCCTTAGTCCTAAAAGATTTTGGGGTCGGCTAACACAAAAGTATAAAACTTATAACTCACAAAAATATATTAATCAAAATTATTGGCCAAAGTTTACAACCATTGGCAAAGAAAGTCAAAGATGACAAAGTAAGTGACGGAGGAAGTAGCATTTTGCAAGCAAAATAAAGTTGTACGTGTGTGTATATGATACAAAAATGTCTGCCAGATTAGGTCAAGCGCCCATTCATCACTGAATGGGATAAAACATTTTACCAAGGGGTAAAATACATTATAGTTTCAAAAAATAATATTCCGTATAAAATAGTAATCAGGTGAAAAACACGGAACATACCAACATACATGTGTAAATGAAATATTGCATAAACTATAGACAAATAGCAGTACTAATTCTAAAGCAAACAAGGAAGTTTGTTTGGCAGAAGCTATGAACAAAAGCAGCAGAACACGTCGTTGTGCAAAACAAAGTCAGTGACTAAGTAAAAAAGCCTAACAGGTTAAATGCTCAATCTATGAAAGAAACCAAGAACAATATGTTTTAAGTACCTTGGAGGAATTCAACTGTGGGGTGTCAGAATTAAATCCCAGAACAAAACTTGACGGTTGGGTTTCACCCTTTGAAGGGTTCCAAGCAATTGAGGCAGAGAGGCATAAAATCTTCCCAATTTTTGATATGGAATCGATGGCATTCTGAAATTCAGCCTGCAAAATCCATGCCAAAATGTTAATCCCATAGCACATTTCTGTAGTTCAAAATATACGATACGATGAGAAAAAACGAAAAATATATGACCACATATGACATATGATGGTCAGAAACTCAGAAACCGGTATAAATTAATTGCAATGTTACCAAAACATATTAAATAAAATTAAACACATCTCTGGCATCTGCAGTCACCAACAAGACTAACAACAGCTTACCAAGAGTGAGGTTCGGAGCATTGTTTCAGGAACCGAAGTTCGCTTATGAGTTATGAGAAAGTATAAATGCAAGACTGAGTAATCTAGTGTGCTAAGATTATAAATTACAAAATCCCTAGACAATCTTCGGGGCCTATTGATTAAAAGGATGAAATATCAAAAATCATTAGCTGTAAAAATGTAAAGAATAAAAACACTAATAAATTGAAACTAATTTTGTAGGATATTATCAAATGCCAGACTGTACAATCACATCCAGGTCTAATTAGCATTATAATAAAATAAAAACACAACAAAGCAAACCTGAAGTTGCCAATTATTCAAGTTTAATGGATCTAGAAGCTCAAATATTTTGACTTGGCCATCAGAATATGCAACTACCTGCGTGTGAAGAAAAGTAAATAAATTATGAAGCTTAGCAACAAATAGTGAAGCCTAAACTCCTTAAAGTCTTAAAGTAAGGACCTTTCTCACATTCTCAAAAATGACAACAAAACAGAATATGTACCACTGTATCAGATTACATGTATGAAAGATGAACACTTATCAGAGTACACGAATAAAAAATGAACACTGTCCATGATGAAGTATTGAAGGGTAACTATGTTATTTGATAACACGTTGTAGAGAGCACTAGTCTAGAATCATGTGTGCGTACAATGTCTCTCAATGCAAATAGCCAAATACTTGAAGAACTAGCTCAAGTGTCTCAAGCATAATATGAGATTTACTTTAGGAAGATTATATCAGGAAACATCTCAATCACTGGATGCTCCCCTTCTCTCCTTCCCGCCATATTTGTCTGACTACATTGAATAGAATTGTAGATTCTGTTGGTGAAACGTTCAATGAATGCATATTCTATATCATATGCTTCGTAAAATATAAGAAACTAGTGGTCTATTTAACATACATTCTATACCTTGCAAATGCCACTTACTATCCAGCTATACCATGGATCAATGTGAATATTCAGTAGAAACAATATCAGGAAACGTGTAGAAGGAACATTAACCACAGTAACCAAATTCTTAGAATCTAACTGTCTTCCTAAACAAATTCTGAAACAATATGTGACCTCAAACTTAATATTGAGAATAGCAACTCAGATCGTAAAAGTTGTGGCTTATTGGTCCAACTAATTGCTTCTTGAAAGAATCCTTCCGAAAGCCTAAATTTGGAACTTGTTAATAGACTACTTCCTATTCTCTGCTTCTGAAATTCATTCCATATTTTTTTGTGTTCTCACATTTTCTACTATTTCAAATTTATTTCAAAACTGGCTGATTAAACAAACATTAAAAGTAATGGAATTTCAGAAACTGAAACGGCTGGAATTTCTAGCACTATTACATTGAAGAAAAGAAACTCATTAACACATATGCATCTCATATTCTCATCTCATCACTTATGTCGTCATTTGATTGATTTGATCTGCTACAATGACTACAATGACAAGATAGAAACCCTGATAAAACAAAAATCAACTCACCAATTTGAGGCTATTAAGGGAGACACCAAATTGAATATGTAGAACTCGGCTTGAGTTTTTGTCGAAGGATTTGCACAACACCCACTGAACAGTCTCAGAATCTAGAAAAAGAAAAAATACTACAAAATAAGACAAGCTGTAGTGAAAATCACTCAAGCAGAAAAGGAAGGCATCAAGGACAGATGCAAACTCCTAGTTAAAGAGATCACATAAAACTGCAGGGTTACCTTCTGACACTTCTTCCCACAATGACAAAGTCCCAGTATCACTGATGCATGCAACCCCATCGCCATACTCAGGTGGAACCCAGACAATTTTGGCCAAACCAGTCTCATGGACCTTTCTCATTAAATTACAGGGAAAATTGTGATAAACATAACTTCAAGAAACATACAAAGAAAATTTAATCAAACTGCATTGCAGTTTACCTGCTTAAATGATTAAGAACTAGTCAGATCATCTTCATGCAATTATTACTCTTTCTGATTAAAAATAAACAGATAAACTTTTATGTAGTTGTGATCGTGAAATTTAAATAAAAAAACGTTATTTTTTGACACATTATCATCAGCTACTTTTTCTGATCAGGCCACTGGTAAAAATACATTCTTTACCTCTCCAAGACCACAGCAGTTGGTCCGGAAGAGAAACACGACCCAAACTATTCAATGAAACACTTTATATTCCACACATGCTACAACTACTAATATATATACATGCTAAGAAAATAGAACATTCATCTCAAAAATTGAGGTGCTGGACTCCAAAGACCATAGCAAATTAACTAAAGAATGATAAAGTGGAAGTAATAAAATTGAAGTAGGGAGTGAGAAGAAAGAATGACAAACCGCAAATCTTGAAGAACAATTAAAAACTGAGGAATCTGGATCAGTTGAATCGTAGATTGCCAAAGTTCCATCAATCGAACCAGCCGCTAATCTCTGCCCGTTGTAATTCCATGCTGAGCATGTGGTTCCATTATCCAGTGTGACTATAATCTTATCCATCCTTGCTCTTTCACTCACACTCTATTTCAACGATATAAATGCTTATACGTATATGTGAATATGTGATTCCAAAGGTCGGGCTTTAATCGCGTCGATTTAGTACTGAACAGAGTGAGCAGAGGTTGAAATTCACATAGTGCTCCCTAAACCTGCCACTCTGTTATCCTAGGGTTTTACGGCTGCAATTTGTCGAGGATTTGGATTTCCCGGCTAGAACAAACTGAACAATCGGAGATTACAAAGCTGTCCTTGTGGACACACACTTTGCCGGTTTCTGTTGGACTATTTCACTCCAATCACGAAACTCAACCAAACTTTTTTAAAACAAAGGTGATAAGAGATATTACTCAAAATGCGACTAAAAAAGTTTGGAAATTTCAAAAGAGGTTTTTTACTTGAATATTACTAATTTTGAATCAATTAACAAAAAAAGTGACCACTTTTAAAAATGGGCAAAAAAGAGATCAAGAAGGTCATATTAATGTTATTCCCAGATTTTAATGTCACTATCCTGTTTTAATGTCACTATCAAATGTCACTGCTACCACCGCCCGTGTCACTGCCGCTATCGCCTGTATCACTGCGACTACCGCCCGTTTCACTGCGGCCACCGCCCGTGTCACTGCGGCCACCGCCCGTGTCACTGCGGCCACCACCCATGTCACAGCGGCCACCACCCGTGTCACTTTTATATGTCACTATTGGTGTTCATGTCACTTTCGAATGTCACTATCGTCGTAAAATGCGTCACTATGAGCAATGGAATTTTTTTCGGTGACCTCCATGGCTAACTAGTGAACATCCTCCACTGCAGCCCGCCACGCACTCGCCGGCAATACCATCCCACCATAACCTTTAGACAATCCATTGCCCTGTCCCTCCCGACCCCATGCTGGCTAACCCCAATAACCACCATCCATCCCAATTCTCGTCGCCACCGTCGCCGCTGGTGTCGGCGTTGGCGACACCTTGCACCCTTCCCTGCCACAACCCCCAACCCCAGCACCATTCCCAGTGGCCATCCACCTCTTCAGCCCACCTTCCCGACCCAAGCCTTTTCCCCAACCACCACACCACCACCTGCAACCCCTAACCGTCCAGATTCAACCGCGCCGCCGCTCCCCTGCCACCTTACCATCGCCACCTCCAAACCAGATCTCAAATTAATGCCTCACCTCACCTTCAGCCACCAGCACCGCCCATCATCTGCAACCCTACCCCTGATCCTCGCCCATCCCCAACCTTGGGCTTGTCCCTGTCCCAGGACCTCCGAAGCTCAAATTCGCCACATAGCGTTCGGAATCAACTACCCCATTCGCGATTTTGTCACAGAGAAAGAGAAGAAAGAATGGCGATGAAGTGCAGAAAGATATTCACAGATATATCTGGCTTGCTTTTGTCCAATGGAATTTGATGCGTGCGAATGAGATGGAAAGCTACTGCGCGTCAAATAAGAAAAGCGTAGAGGAGATCATTTTTTTGGCAACATCAATTTCACTCATATTCTTGACTAACGAAAGTTAGGTAGTAATAATCATGCCATTCTTTCATTCCAAAATAGGACTTCCATGTTTTTATTCCCAAAATAGGACTAATTACTGTCATGTTTTGGCTGTACCAGACTTCAAACATGGCAGTATTTTCCAAATTTGGCAGTAATTAGTCCTATTTTGGGAATAAAAACATGACAGTCCTATTTTGGAATTTCAAACTTTTTTAGTCCCATTTCGGGAATTTTCCCAATTGTTATTATGTGAATATGGATTATCATTTGGTCCGTGGGCTCGTGAGCCTATGGGGGCCTGCCTGTCCCATTTGTCAAAAATCTAAACCCGGCCCATAAGGGCCATGGAATGGCCCAACCCACTATTGAAGGGGTGGTCACGGGGTAGAGTATTTGAAGCCTGGCCCAGCCTATTGGTCGCTCCATCAAGACCTATCCTAACCCAGCCTATCAAGCCCAACTGAGCCTAGCCCAGAAGCACTTTTATACATTATTAATTTAATACATGTTGAGGTATATTATTTCGGCCTACTACTATTCGGGAGTCCAAGACAACATTTGGTACGAAGCCTGATCAGTGAGGCCCATTTCGGTGCATCCGGCCACCTTGGCCTGTTTGGCCCACTGGGGTAGCTATTATACCCCTCCCTTTTTCTTCTATAAATAGGAGGTTTCCCTTCCTATTGAATGACTTTGGGATCCTTCTCTTCTTCCCTCCACTTCCTCCTCCTCTCTGAAATAGATTAGCTAGCAGTCTCCATTAATGGAAGCTTCATCCTTGTACATTGTGAATAGTGAGGAGAGCCTAATGAGAATGAGAGTGGCTTGGACATTAGACCAAAAAGTCATGTGGTTTTCTCTCTTTCGGGTTTCCACGTTAAAATAGCTTGTTCATACGCATTTATATGTATATTTATTATATCGTGTTGGATTACACCTCAACACTGGCGCCGTCTGTGGGAACTTTGTTCAAAAAGATTTCATGTGTTCTTGATTTTACAAAAAAAAAACATACGGAAATGAATTGATTTCAACAAAGGAGGAAAAGAATCTAGAGTTTTTAGATGCCAGAGGTTCCAGATCTTAGACAGGGAGGTCATCGCCGGCAGCACCAATCCTAGACCGTCGCCGGCAGACGCCATTAAGAGTTGTTGCTTCCACACCAGTCCCCTATGCGAAGCAACAACTCGTAATGGCGTCTGCCCCCCAGCGAAGCAATGGCTAGGCTCTGTGCGTCTTATGCGAGGTGGCCCACCGAGGTCCCTTGTAATACTTGAGATTTAATATAAACGGATTAATAGTACTACTCATACCAACAAGGTGCATCTCCTTTTAAGGGAGCTAATTAGCCAAGAACTCCAAAGTTAAGCGTGCTTGCACGGGAGTAGTCTTGGGATGGGTGACCCCCTGGGAAGTTTCTCAGGGCGCGCACGAGTGAGGACAAAGTGCTCGTAAAAGGCTAGTGGCGGTTTGTGAGGACAGTACTATTGGTCCGGAGTAACTACCTCGGGTCCCATGGGGTCGGGGTGTTACAAATGGTATCAGAGCAACCCTGCGACAGTGTGCTGATCCGTTGGATATCGGGCAGACACCTAGCAGGGGAAAAGTTTCTGGGATTTGATTGAGATTGGTTTAAGGACGCAACGAGGACGTTGCGATCCTAAGTGGGGGTGATTGTAATACTTGAGATTTAATATAAACGGATTAATAGTACTACTCATACCAACAAGGTGCATCTCCTTTTAAGGGAGCTAATTAGCCAAGAACTCCAAAGTTAAGCGTGCTTGCACGGGAGTAGTCTTGGGATGGGTGACCCCCTGGGAAGTTTCTCAGGGCGCGCACGAGTGAGGACAAAGTGCTCGTAAAAGGCTAGTGGCGGTTTGTGAGGACAGTACTATTGGTCCGGAGTAACTACCTCGGGTCCCATGGGGTCGGGGTGTTACATCCCTAGACAATCATCTGGTACTTGTTGGGTTAAGCCCATAGAGGCCGATCATCCTTCTAGAACGGACGAACGTCTTGCGACAGCTTAGTCCACCATGGTTATCTGCTCCTATGGGTTGTGTATATGAAGTCGAGCGTCGTATGTGTTAGACCCTAGATTTTGATGAACTGTTTTTGATGATGCCAAAAGCGTTTGTTTCTCCCCCCTTCTATTGTAGCATTATTATAAGAGTCTTTGTTATCCTCTTTTGTAGCATCTTGCAGTTATCTAGTACTAAGAAAAATTATCTAGATGTGTCGTGCTCCTTTTTATAGTTAACAAATAAATGTGACTGGAAAACCATAAAATGCAATAAGGCAATATTGAATTGCCTTAAAAAGGATATCGTATAAATCCAACCAGTTATATTTATTTGTTACACACAATAACATCTCGTACAAATGAACTATCTATTTTAACTGGAAAACAAAATGCAATAAGGTAATTTTACCTTAATAGGAATTGATATCCTACCAGTTAAATATTTAGTTTATCATGTTCGAAATACTAGATAAACCATACACTCAGAAGAAGAGTTCTTAATATTCTGTTCACTACAAAAGATAACAATGAAATTTCTATATAACAAATAGAACACACTGGGATTCAAAATCAAATAAGGTAAAGTTGTCTTTACCTTAAAATTGGATATTTAAATCCAACCAGTAAAGTGTTATTTGATATACAGATTAATCAAAGTGAACAAGAATATTGGTTAACTAACTGGAAAACAAAATGCAATAAGGTAATAATTTTTACCTTAAAAAGAATTTGATATGTTAACAAGTGACAAGAATTCCAATGTACAAACTATGTATCAATTAAACATACTGGAACTATAAAATGCAATAAGGTAAACATTATTTACCTTACATGGATATTTAGATCCAACCAGTATAGTCTTAATTTGATACATAAGTTTAATCATGTCACTTAAAGAAAGAAAGTGATTAGTAAAATAAGTGACAAATTTTACTGTGAAATTTGTACCAAATAAATTGTACTGGAAAGAACAAAATGCAATAAGGTAAGTTTACCTTAATAGGATATTTAAAAGATCCTACCAGTACAAAATTTATTTGACACGAAATATTCTAAGTCACACATTTTACTACTTCACTACTTGAGCAGGTTCATGCACTCAGCTTCACGAGTGTAGTTGCAAGACAAGGCCAATACATTCAGAATGCAAGAGCAGAGAAGACAAACGAATGGGTGAATAGTGAAGAAGTTTCAGAATAGGCATGCAGCGATAAGAAGGCCTAAGGTATGGGTGTTATCTTCGTACAAAGCAAGTGGTCTTCAAAGACAAATCCTTATCCTGCTTCAACACAAGAAGACGCAAGTACAATACTTTGGACGTCTAGGATTAAATCCTCTTAACCAACGGAGGAGATTAATCTACTGGAGATGCCTATAAAAATAGGCAGAAGCATGAGATCAAAAGCAAGTCATTGAGTTCAAAGCAAGTGGTTCAGTCATTACACTACGAATATCCAGCAAAAGAAAAAGTGCTTGAACACTCTGCTTTGACTCATGCTTCACTAAGCTCTTAGACTAGATCATTCATTGTAACATTTTTAGAGTTTAGGTTTTAGTTGGAGGTTAGAAACGTTGTGAACAAATTCATGGTGTTGTAAACACTTAGGAGAACAGTTGTTCGGATCCTAAAGTGTGGTTAGATAGATAGAGTACCTTTTGATCCACACTGGATCAATTGAGAAAAGTCTAAGGACTGAGTAACTTTGAGTGGTGTTATACTCATTGTGAAAAACCTTCAATCTAGGCCAGAGTTGTCAA